GGGCGCGGCATTGTGATGGGCGGTGGGATCGAAAGTATCGGTGGCGGGTTTGAAGTTGAAGATGTGATTTTTGGCAAGCAGCCCGGTGGAGGCTGCTACTGCTGCCGCAAAAACAGCTTGCCACATTGAAGAAGAAGAAGAAGAAGGCAAAGCAAAAACAAGCTATAAACTTTTCAAAAGAGGAGGCTCTTCGCTCTTCAGTGTGTTGCTCACTGGAACTGAAGAAGTGAAGCCCTCTCTTTCTCTGCAAGTCCAAGAGTTATTTACCAATTTACCAGTCGCACACTGGTCACCTACCACCACGTGGAGACGAGGCGGGGGTAGTTTTGGCACTCCACGTGCTTCCCGCTTTCACGGGCTGTCCGATTGGGAATATTTAATTGTATCCCTGTTTTTGGAAAAAAAAATTTGAATCTTTTTCCGGTCTATTCAAATTTCAATATAGTCCTCAGTGGTGCCGTACAGTGAAATTTTGGTCTTAATTTAGTAAATTTATTTTGACGGTATATATTTTTTCTTTCTATTTTTAATATTTGACAAGTTTTCTCTGTGAAATTTAGACTACTAGCTAAATTACACAATTGCGTCACATATGAGAGAGAACAAGTTCCCTCTCCAAGAGTTGGGACTAACATAAAAATCTTAATTTGGAATTTCTTCGACATTATGTTTCGGGTATACAAATCTAATTATTGAAGGACATTCTCAACTCTCTTGTTAATAAAGGAATTTCTACTCCGCAACTAATTTTGTCAATTCTGCAGGACATTAGTTATCTTGACGGACAAGTTCATGTTCGAAATTTCCACCATATTTATCGAGAGACTAATTTTACAGCAGATTTGGGTCATTCTCAACCTCAACCAACCATTTGGACTTCACATTTTTCCTTATTTTGTAATTTGTAAAGTTTTATATGATACTCGAAATCTAAAAGTCCGTCACAAACTATCGTTGTAATTTACTTTTGTACTAAAAAAAGGAAGCCCAAGAATACCAGTAAAAGCAACCAAACGATCACATGATTCTTTTGACATGATGGCCTCCTTATCCCTCATTAATGAGCCACTTTTTGTTTATGTAAAAATTTCGTCCAATGTATCACATGCACCCTAGTTCAAAGAGCATTTCCGTCAATGTCTCTCATAGGAAAAACTTTTACATGTGAAAAACAAAATAATCAATGGATGCTAAAATTGTAGCTGCATTGGAGTCGAGCACAAGAGAACTGTAAAGCAACTAGATTCTGAGGCTTAGAGAACGATAATGCATTCACAAATTCATGAACCATGCAATTGGAAAAACAATTTATGCAACTTCTATTTCATGTGGTGATGAACAAACATGTTAAAAATTGTCCACTAACAATAACTAAAGTTTCTCAATCTATAACAGTCTGTTGCAACACGGTAGAACTTCAGATATCACAACATGCTCTCTTTTTAATAATACTGGAGCAATCTGAAATCCAAGCGATCCATCCAACTGACTTCTAGTACAATTATTTTCTGAATCAAGTGATGCAAACCGAATGATAAATATTTAATCATCTCGTTGATACACGCAGTAGCCAGGACAAAGATCTTGAGCAACTTACCTGGAGAGAAAAGGAAAAGAAAAGCGCTTAATGTTATATGTGAATACCAAAATATTTAACCAAACATAGACACACCCACACAGAGCAAACAACATATGTAATGTTCTCAACATGAATAACATTGTCAAAGGATCTCAAGGAGATATAAATAATTGCTTAGTCATCCATGACACAAGCAAGTTTAAACTTTCAAATCAACTGGATAGGAGACCCAATAATCATATGTCATATATGTAATTATTTAAGATATGCCATTATATATTTCTTAGAACTCAACTCATAATATAGTAGATGAACAAATAGCCTCAGTGTCTTCAACTCATAGGCCATTATCATTATCTAAAAAGCCTACAGTATATTCAACTTGGATTTCTGTTCCCACGGTTTCACCCCATAGAAGATGAACAAAGCAAATTACTAAAATTCCTCAATTAGGTCCTTGATACTACACTAACTTGTCACAAAATCATCCGTTTCTAATACTAATCTTTCTTGACTTGCCGCATTCAGCTCATCAGACTTATTAAACACCTAAATCATAATATGAACAAATGGGCACACTACCACATTTCACCATTTCAAACAAAATGCAATTACTTAATGGATTATGGAACATAACTTTCAGCACTCTTATCCTAAACCCTAATAAAAAATTCTTTATCTATTCTGCTAAATTGTTGGGAACCAATCTTTAAACACTTACACTTTCAACACTTCAACTAAAGAATCACCATTATATTTGAGAAGAGAGCATGAGAACGGGTGAAGACCCATTTCAGCATACAAACTATGTTGAACATCCTTCTTGAATCACAATTATCACTATGATCACAAGTCATGATCAAGTGAACCATATTCCACAAAAACAAAGAAAAAAACCCCAAAATACAGAGGACAACAAGAAAGAAAATAATAAAACTAATACCATGAAAATAATGCATACTAACTTATAAATCAACTACTGGTAACAATTTCAATCTCTAAATAAGCCTGCAAAAAAGGTCATAGATGGGAATATAAAAAGGCTTTGGATGCTGAGAAAAGCCTAGCAGCATTGTACAGGAGGTGTAGGTCCATCTTGCCTTCACCTGATATCTTAGTCCCCAACTAATTCTACAATCTTTGACCAAAACAAAAAAAAAACTAATTCCACAATCTATGTTTAGTGACCCCCTTACTGTAAAGTCATTTCAGTTATGGTACTTCTCAATATAGAAGATACAATAAGTTGGATCATTTGATGAAGTTTTCTGTTTTTATTGTAGGTATTTCCTTAGTGATTATCTTAGATTAATTTACAAATGTTTATCCAAATTGCAGTGGCCTCTATAGCTAGGTTATTCTATTTCAGGTTATGCAAACTTGTTAATGAATTAAATTTACATTTTTCTTGTAGAAAATTAAAAATTTAACTTGCATTTCTCCTTAATTCATCTTTTTCAGTTCCTCTACCTTTTCTTTCAAACCTCTTGTTCTCTTTGATTCTTGTCCTGATAACTGTCTAGTTGGTGCTACATCATTTACCCTCAACAATCAAAAAGCATACGAAATGCTCTATCACTTACCAAGATTGTCATAAAATCAGTGCGGTATATATATATATATATATATATATACACTACAGGTCATCTTTGCTGCTAGACCCCCTCTGAAGCTAAAGGGTTATGAATCACAAAAAAATATACAATGTAATGCAGTAAGATAAATCTAATATCAAAAGAGGTAGTCTGTGAAGCTTATCTTTATAACCATTGAGGTTCTGCATGCACTAGGATTGCTATAACAATTTCTATAAAAAGATATTACATATAATTACATCTTGAATTGAAGCCCAAGGTCGAACCAATAACACAATTTGTTTGTTGGTGAAAATCACAACACAATTTTCAGTTGCACAATTCAGGAATTTAAAACGCAAAGACATGTTCATATTCCACATACCTAGATGAGTTTTCATCAATCAGTTACTCTTGGCAGCCAGTTTGTTCCTAGCATCCCTGGCATTGTCATACTCGAACTTCAACACATTGGGTATATGAGAAGTGTCCTTGATGTAAAACGCTCTCCCAAACCAGCTCTCTTCGATAGCCGGAAAGTAAGAGTAAAGCACAGAATTCACAACCCAAAACCACAGAGCCCCAAGAAAAACTCCCAAAGCAGAACCAGCAAGCACCTGAGCCACAGTGTGGTAACCCAAATACACCCGCGAATACATAGTGAGCAAAGCCAAAGCCCAAGGCAAAAAAATAACAGCAAACTTGTTCTTCGTATGCCAGAGCCCAATCCCTTTATACGTCATGAGGGTGAAGTAGACAGCAAAGAAGAACATGTACTGAGAGTGGCTCGAAGGCCATCCATGCGAATCACACATCTCAAGCAGAGCGCAGGTCTCGGGCCGAGCTTGCTGGACCGATGTCTTGATGAACTCGTTGACGAACTGAGAAATTATGAGGCCCAGAGCGAAGAACATGCCTTGGAGCTCGCGGCGGAAGATGAAGTGAGAGACGAACCCACCGAGGCTTATGAAGACTGGGACCAGAGAAATCCATGCCAGGAAGTAACCCAGTTTGTCACCCCTCTGGTACCTCACGTGGGTCAATGTCACAGCTTTGTGTGATGGCAAAGCCATGTCGGAGAACCCAAAAGAGGCACAGAATTCTAGGTTTTGGGTAGAAATGGAATCCAAGTTTCTGGGAAGAGTGATTGAGAAAAGGTGTTTGATCGGATCTGGGTTGTGAAGGAGTGCGAATTTTAAGAGAAAGGAAAGGGATTTGAGATGGGAATTGAGTAAAATCTGAGCTCAGGGGATGTGAGAGAGTTGAGAAATTGGATGGGAATTGAGTAGGTATGGTGGTGGCGGAGAATTGGTGAAGACGATGGATTTTGATGTGGATTGTTTGTTTCTCGATAAACCGTTGACGCTCGTAACTTTTTTATCTTTTGCTTTTGAAAACGGTCGGGAAAAGAACCGCCACCACTCGTGGACCCAGGAAAGAGAGTGGAAACTGGAGAGGCCCGTAATGGATTAGGGCTTTGTGGTTAAGCCTTAGGCCCAGCCCATCAAAATTTCCTCAAAACTTTAGGGCCTCATTATTTCACAACGGCTCGACGACGGGAGTAATTATTGTTCTATTATCAGTTATATATAATTAGTAAATTTAGGTTTTAGTAAAAAAAAAAAAAAAAAAAAATCTCAACTTTCAAACTAAAAATATGCAAATATAAAGGATCCTTCCAAAAATAAATAAAGGCAATTTTATCAATTTTGGCTCCGTTTAAAAATTTTCTCTCTCATTTGGTCTTTTCTAAAGTCCACTCTCTTCATGTGGCATTACAAGATAAATATAATTAGCAATTGCTCTTTTTTTTTCTTTTTTTTCCTATTGTAGGCTCATCAACCACACCTTATAGCCAACAACATCATCCACTCCTCATCCTCATGAAGCATATTTTAAAGTCTATACCAAATCAATTACAAAAATACATATTGTGTTCATCTAGCATATTATTCACCATGAAAATTAGTGAGTTTTAAATCAATTCAAATGGCCAGATACGTCGAATGATCATATCGAAAATTGTATACTTGTATGCATCAATTGTATTTGCAAATTCGTCTCTAGATGAGAAGTGCACTTTATATAGAGCATCATCTCAACAACATTCTCTTCAATTGCAACAAAATAACACCCTAACCAGAAGTAAAGGTGGTCTTATTTTTGGTCAAATTTGAAATGAAACATTAGTCATTTCATTTATTTTTGTGAGAAATATTTTGTTGGTTAAAATATGAACACTTTTGAATAGGTAGAACATCCACATCAGCCTCACCGCGCGGCACACCTCATTACCTCCTAAATCTCTGTTTCTTCACATTCAAAACCCTCCTCCTACATTAGCTCGAAGTCTTCAGCTAAATTCGACGCTCTCTCTCTCTATCTCTATAATGGCTGATGATAATATAGCTCCTCCTCACAGAAGGGAACCTGTCAAGTCTTCAGGTGCGTTCTTCATCGCATTACTTTAATTGCTGTAAACCCTCTCTTGGGTTGCTGAGAAAATTAGGGAAACAACTAGGAGAAGAAAAATTCTTGGACTTTATGTTTTATGCTTGTATTAGGTCTCTGTGATTTATGGGTTCGGTTTATGAAAGTCATATTTGGAATTGGGGCAGTTGAGTGGAGTGTTGGTTATGGTTTATGAGAAACCAAATAAAGAATTTTCTCGTCGTCCAAGCAGACTAGGAAGCAATTCAATGTTAAATAAGAAGACAAAGGCATTAGTTTTATTGGGGTTCTGTTCTTTAGGCGTCCTAAACCACTTAAGAATTAGATAATAGGAGACCTAACAGACAAATTTTGATGCGTTATAAATTCTGTTGGAGCTGTATTGAGTTATGTTGCAAAGTGCTGATTATATGGTATATAGTTGCGAATGTTGCGGGACAGCGAAGGCGGCAGCAAGCAATTACAATAGGAAAGGAAAGAAGAGAATCGCTGGTGCGTGCGAAGCGCTTGTGCAGAGTGGGAACTAGTGGTGATCCTGATGTTCCCTCCAACAGTGAAATGATGATTGATGAAGAGCAATCGATCTTGGAGGCTCAAACTTCTTCAGCAGTGGAAGAGTTGAAGTCTGCAGTTGCATATCAGTACGTGAATCTAATTTCTGTACATGAATATTGTGGGATATAAAATGAAAAGGGTGACAACCCTCCCGAGAATTTTAGAGGAATATGAGGCTCTATTTTGTGTTATGGAAATTTGGATCCACTCATTAAAACTCTATGGATGTTGGATTATGTGAGCATGGATCTTCTTTGACGGTTTCTTCAAGCCCATTTAACACCATTTTGTTTAATTTGTAGGGGGAAAGGTGCATTGCAAAAGAAGGTGAGTGCCCTTCGTGAGCTCAGACGCTTACTGTCAAGATCAGAATTCCCTCCTGTTGAAGCTGCTCTTGTAGCTGGAGCAATACCTTTACTAGTGCAATGTCTTTCATTTGGCTCTCCAGATGAACAGGTCCAGCCACTCAGTTGATTTTATTATTTCTAATTAGTATGGGAATATTATTCTCAGCATAAAGTGCTGATAAGTAGTGCTTGTTTGGAAGTTTGCTAAGAATGAAAGAGACAGAAAGAATTTCGATTTTATTTTCTGTTAGGTTCTAGTTATACAGAAGGCTTCAGAAGTTCTGGTTAATCTTGCAATATACTCCATTGGTTTCTTAAAACCTATAAGATACACTATGGAGTTTGTGCACTAAAGTATAACACATCTTCCGGAGCATGCTTGCAGCAATCATTTGGAATTAGTAAAGTCTTAAGGAAGAATTGAGGATATATTATGACTGTTTCAACTTTGCTTGATTTGATGCAGTTGCTTGAGGCAGCTTGGTGCCTTACAAACATAGCGGCAGGGAAACCTGAGGAAACGAAAGCCTTGTTGCCTGCTTTGCCATTGCTTGTTGCTCGTCTTGGAGGTTTGTAATGGCCTTGTGCCCGAGATACCAATAAACAATTAATCTCTCCTATTTAATTTTCTTATCGTTGTTGATAGGTTATACTGAAATTTTTGGCTATGCTTGCCATCCATAGTCTGATATTTGCTTAGGTGATTGTAAGGTACCACTTAATCTTTGAAGCAGCACTTCAAAGTTGAGATCATGACATGTGATACTTAGCTCACAAGTTTAAGCTGTTTTTTATCAGATGGCTGCTTTTGATATTGCATCTATAGTTGCGCTTCTTTTGCAGAAAAGAGTTCATTGCCGGTTGCTGAGCAGTGTGCGTGGGCGTTGGGAAACGTTGCTGGTGAAGGAGAAGAGCTGAGAAATATTTTGCTATCTCAAGGTGCCTTGCCACTTCTTGCCCGAATGATGCTTCCAGACAAGGGTTCAACCGTGAGAACAGCTGCTTGGGCACTCTCAAACCTAATCAAGGTTCAAAACCATTCACCTCATGAACAATTTTATAACACACATGCACATGTTCTTCACAAGTCACACTCCTTCGATTTCCAATGGCTTGTTTTGCCACTTGCCTGATTCTTATCTTCAAATTAGTGTGACATTCAGGGTCACTTGTATTCCCACCGTTAGTGTGTGTTTTTCATTTTATTTTTCACTGTATTTTTTGTTAGTTCTTAATAACGTATCACAATCAACGTGGACTTACATATTATGTGTGAGCGAGTGGATGGATGGCCAGGTGAAGTTCTAGGTGCAAAGTCTTTCAAATTTCAAGTACAACTTACAATATAATATCTGTTTGCTAAAAATGCAGGGACCCAATCCAAAGGCTGCAGCGGAGCTCATTAGAGTTGATGGGGTATTGGATGCAATTATTCGGCATTTGAGAAAAGCGTAATTTCATCACTTTATATATATTAGTTAATTCTGGTCATCATGATTTGTTGCTATTTAACTTTTGGATCACCTTCCCTGCTTATGACTAGTGTACTACTGATAAGCTCCTCTTATATTCAGAGATGATGAATTAGCAACTGAAGTAGCATGGGTGGTTGTGTATCTATCAGCCCTTTCAAATCTTGCTACCAGTATGCTAGTGAAGAGTGATGTCCTTCAACTGCTTGTGGAAAGATTGGCAACATCCAATAGTTTGCAGTTGCTTATTCCGGTAAGGTGGAATATAATTGAATAGATAAGCTCTGTTTTGACCTTCTCTTTCTTTAGATAATGGCTGTGGAGCAACTATTTGTATCATATTGTAGGTTAAATGATTTGCATTTTTAATGTTATATTTGAGTAATTGCGGTAAGAGTCCAAGTTATTCATTTGCTGCTTCTTATTTCTTATCTGTATGGCTGTACTTGTTCCGATATGCAGAAATTTCCCCCCATCCCCCCTTGCTTTGGAAATTGTGTACCATATGCGAATTGTCTATGAAGTACCCATTGTCCCTTACCCTGGCCTAACGCAGAAGAAAATCACATTCTATGTGTTTCTTGACCTCTAAGATGCTGCCTTATTTTATCCTGGTAATAGATTATAAAAAATGGGCGCTCAAGAATCAAGGTCAATGTCTCTAATTGTTCATTGTTTTTTGTGTACTTATATCTCTCTTAATGCGGAATTGCCAAGGGAGTATAGAGAAGTATGGCATGGTTCCATTGTTGAACTTTTTACAACTAAGTGCTTTTAGTTACCATGTCTCATATCTTAAGAGTTCATCTTACTGTAAGGTATGGCATCAATAATGTATGATCTACAATCTTGGGTTCATCCATTCATGAGAACATGGCATTGTATAATTTTTTTGGGTACATGGTTTTAAGATGTTTTAATATTTTCTAGTAAATGGATTGTACTGACAAATGGTTTCCATCTAGGTGCTAAGAAGTTTGGGCAATCTTATAGCTGGTGATTCACAGACAACCCATGCTGTCATTGTTCCTGGGCATGAAGTCACAGGCCAGTGAACTACCCCTGCTTCTTTGATGGGGAATTTAATTCTGATCACATATTTATTTAAGACTTTTTTTAATAGAAAAAACAAGACCATTCACTTATGTATAATGATGACATTTTCAGGAAACATCATAGAAGTCCTGGTGAAATGTTTGAACAGTGAGCACCGGGTCCTGAAGAAGGTATATCAGCTTGTCTTTAATGTTATGAGATGGATCTTATTATGACTAGTACTTATTCAAAGTTCAACCATTAATGTAGGAAGCAGCTTGGGTGCTATCTAATATTGCGGCTGGGTCTATAGAACACAAGCGGCTGATATATTCAAGTGCGGCGGTGCCATTGCTATTACGCCTTCTTTCCACGGCACCATTTGATATAAGAAAGGAAGTAGCATATGTACTAGGAAACCTCTGTGTTGCTCCTATTTCACCTACAGAAGGTGATGGAAAACCAAACCTGATTCTGGAGCACCTGGTTTCACTTGTTGGTAGAGGATGCCTTCCTGGTTTCATTGATTTGGTTAACTCTGCTGATACTGAAGCTGCCAGACTAGGACTGCAATTCA